TCAGTTGGCAGCTCAGCATTCTCAGTCTGGAAGCACCACCACCTCCTCTTGGGACATGGGCTCGACGACACAGTCCCCATCACTGGTGCAGTATGGTAAGAAGATAGAAAGTGACTTACAGACTTTATGGGTTGGAAAAATAATGTAAAGAGTCTAGTAGGGGGAATAGAAAATGTGTCTTAAAGTGAAGGGTAGCTTTCTCAGATTTCTCTTAGCTGCATAGTCTGAGTTCAGGAAGTTTGAGAAAAATAGAAGTTTGAGGCTATGCAGTGATATCTCAGTTCACGAACTTAATTTTTTCCGCAATTCTGGTTGAAGAATTTGTTCCATTAGAATCGTGGAAAGAATTAAGACTGTGAATTGAGGTACCACTGTATGTCTGTGAATCAAGTTTGTTGATTGTTTTGTTTTTTGAGACAGCGTCTGGCCTTGAACTCACTACTTACCCCAGGCTGGCCTCAAATTTGTGCAGTCCTCTTCCCTCGGCCTCCCCAAGTGCTGGGATTACTGGCATGTGCCAGCATACTCCAGTTCTTTTGTCAACTTTAGTCATATATGTGGTTGCAGTTTTTCGTTGGTCTGGGAATTTGGGTGGATTTTGCTTAGATTTTTAGTGTTTGGAAATAATATGCTGCCTTTAAATTCATGGGATTAGCCATATTAAGGCTTTAAATTTTGAGAATTCATAGATTACTGTCTTACATAGGAAAGGCAAGTTGTGCTTAGGAACAAATATTATTTTTGTTTGTTTTTGGCGGAACTGGGGATTGAACTCAGGCCCTTGCGCTTGCCAGGGAAGCGCTTATTCCACTGAGCCATCTCCCCGGCCCCTTAGGAACAAATAGGATCAAATGATTGCCATACGGAAATAAAATCAGTCCTAGAAGAGGACCTGCATGGGTAGTTCAGTGGTAAAATTCCTGCCTGCCAAAAGAGGACCTGTTTATATAGGACTGATTCTTAAAGTACTTGTTCATGGCACTCGTGTAGGACAGTAACATCTCCTTGCAAATCATTAGCACCTTTGGCTTCATATATGATGGACTTCCTTGTACAGATTTGAAGAACCCAAATGATTCAGCAGTGCACAGCCCCTTTACAAAACGCCAGGCTTTCACCCCGTCTTCAACCATGATGGAGGTGTTCCTTCAGGAGAAGCCTCCTGCAGTGGCTACCTCCACAGCTGCACCTCCACCCGCCTCTTTACCTCTGCCAAGCAAATCTACCTCAGCTCCACAGATGTCTCCTGGGTCTTCAGACAACCAGTCCTCCAGCCCTCAGCCTGCTCAGCAGAAACTAAAACAGCAGAAGAAAAAAGCCTCTTTGACTTCTAAGGTACTTGAACCTTTAGGTAATACTGACTTAAGGCAAGGAGTATGGGATCTGGTATGTTAACTTGAGGTTGAAAGGGATCTTTTTTTAAAATTCTAAGATCTTTAAACTGTTATTATTATTTGTTACTGGGAATTGAACTCAGGACTTTGCCCTTGCCAGGGAGGCGTTGTGCTGGTGAGCTATATCCTCAACCTCTGAGGTCTATTATTATTATTTTAAGGTCATATTAAGCCATTATATTCTCTTTTCCTTTATCTTTCTGCATAGATTCCTGCTCTGGCTGTGGAGATGCCTGGCTCAGCAGATATCTCAGGGCTAAATCTGCAGTTTGGGGCATTGCAGTTTGGGTCAGAGCCTGTCCTTTCTGATTATGAGTCCACCCCCACCACGAGCGCCTCTTCAAGCCAGGCTCCAAGCAGCCTGTATACCAGCACGGCCAGGTAGGGGAAATACGAGGTGTGGAGCTCTTTTAATACCTTTCATTCCCTCACTGACTTCTAGAGCTCTGACTGGGTGACAGAAAAGTGGTCAATCTTAGCATTTTTGTTGAGTGCTTTAAAATACTGCTACAACTATTATCCCTAACTTTAAACAGAATTGTGCTGCTTGTGTACTTACAGAATATTAAAGCTCAGTTTGAAATGTGTACAGCACCTCCAACAGAAAAGTTGACCTCTGCCACAGTTAATGTGCTTCTGGTATTTTTTTAGCCCTTTGGTGTGGAAGTGTGTGAAGGTTATAACTTTTGAATTCCTAGGAATGATACAGCATTCCTGTCTTATGAAAATTTTATGGAGTTGGGCATGGTGATTTTTTTTTTTCTTTCCTGTTTTAGGGAAGGGTGGTCTACAGGGTGTTCAGGGTCTCACTACTAGATTGGACTAGTAGTGATCTACCTGTTTACAGCCTCCCAAGAGCTGGGATTACAGGAGCGCCACCATGCCCAGTCTCAATTGCCGTCTCAGCGCACTCAGGGTGGGGCTGGCACAGCAGGCAGGGGGCATGGTAATTTTGACTACAAGCATATACACCTATAATCCCAACACTCTGGGAGCCTAAAGCAGGAAGATCACTTTTTGAGTCGTGGCTGGCAACTTAGTGAGACCTTGCTGCATCCCCTTCACCAAAGGCATGTATGCATTCGTTCTTTTTTTTTTTTTTGCCAGCTTAGCCTGACCTGAGGGTGGGGTTAACCTGGTATATGGTGCCAGGGATTGAACCCTGGTCCTCTGCACCTGCCTAAGCAGGCACTTTAGACCACTGAACTACCTTGCAATCCCATTCATTCATTTTTTTGAGACTGGGTCTCACTGTGCAGTTCAGGCCTACCTTGAATTTACTGTGTACTTGAAGCTGGCCTCAAACACACCTGCCTCAGCTTTCTGAGTGCTGGGATTACAAGCCTGCACCACCTCACCTGACTTTAGAAGGACCTTTTTTTTTTTTTTTTTTGTGTGTTGGTAATTGAACTCAGGACCTCATGCTTGCCAGGCAGGTGCTGTGCCACTGACCTATATCCCCAGGCTCAAAAGGAATGAATCTTTTGTCTTCTCTCTCTTTTTTTTTTTCCCCCTAGAACTGGGGATTGAATTTAGGCCCTTGGGCTTGCCAGGGAAGTGCTTATTCCACTGAGCCATCTCCCTGGCCCCTGTCTTCTCTAGTAATGATCAGAGAAGTAGAAAATCCTGTAGGAATTTCAGGGTAATAGGCTATTTTTTCCTCAGTCCTTAGGAATTTGAAAATATAAATGTTTGGTCCTAGTCTAGATCTGTTGAGTCATTACTGCCACTAATAATTATGAACATTTTAAGTCTTCCTCTCAGGATACCACTAGTCTTTAGCAAGGTTGTTCAGGAAGTCCAGAGTTCAGAATTCCTCAAATGGGCTTCTCCTGTCCTAAAGGCTGGACTTACAATGAAGTATATTTTTACTGCTCTTAGCTTCTTTTTTGAGTTCAAAAACATTTTGCAGTGTGGTGGGGATTAAACCCAGGACTTTGCTGCTGAATTACATCTATGCCACTGAGGAGAAAATTATAATTTTCTTTTGTTGCTGTGAAATTTCTTTCTGGTTGAAATGTTTATTCCATTTAGTATATCTTAACCATTTCTGCAGTATCAGTGGGTCTTTTCTGTTTTCTCTGAGATTTTTCTTTTCCCACAGTGAATCTTCATCTACAATTTCATCTAACCAGAGTCAGGATTCTGGTTATCAGAGCGGCCCAATTCAGTCGACAACCTATACCTCCCAAAACAATGCTCAGGGCCCTCTATATGAACAGAGATCCACACAGACTCGGCGGTACCCCAGCTCCATCTCTTCATCACCCCAAAAGGACCTGACTCAGGCAAAGGTAGCGGCTTTGTGAGTCCCTTTGGCACTGGTTAGGAAAATAGTGGGAAAAATTGCTTAAATGTTAGTGATTTGCATCTCTGAAAGTGGTGTTAAGAAACCTTGGAAGTACAGATTGAGAAGCTGAAAAAAGTATTTTTCTGTGGTTGGTGAAATAAAATTCTTTTTAGCAAGATTAGAGGCTTAAAGCTAGAAAATTAATGCAGTAAAGACTCAGTGCCTTATTAGAATCAGTCTTAAATACTTGTCCTCTCCTCTTACAAGATCTCATTGCTAGGCTTTGGGGTGCACAGTATAGATTTTGCCTGGTTCTGTCTTGTCTTGGTGAGAGGGACAGCATATGTCAGAGGAGACATGGGTGACTGTCAGATGCAGCCAGCAAGATGGGTGGCTTGACTGTCATAGTGCCATGTCCTTTCCACAGTAGTCGTCGGGTTTGGACTTCCCAACTTTCTTGTGTTATTCCTTGTTTGAGGGGTTAACTTCAAATAGTTGTACAGGTTTGATATATATAATTTGGCTTTTGATTTTGTTGTTTCATTGCCTCATTGTATTATTCCTTTGGCTAACTAGCATTTTCTCCTAAAGATTATCAAAATTAAGCTGAGTCAGTGATAACTTCTCCACATGAATTTGTTTGTTCTTGCTCCTATTTTCTGTACCAGAATGGCTTCAGTTCTGTGCAGGCCACGCAGTTACAGACCACACAATCTGTTGAAGGTGAGTGTTCTTCAGGCTCTTATCTTCTCAGTTGTTACGTCTTTTTCTCTCTATTTTTGCATTTCTTAAAGTAAAAGAGAAGCTCTGGCACAATGATAAAATGTGGTTATAGTTAGTCTTAGCTTGGTTCTGCCTTGCTGTTAATCTCAAACCATCTTAAGTTTCAGGTACTCTATCTTAAAATGATGATAATTTTATTGGGTCCCTTCACTGGAAAAATAAAATACAGTTGTAGCCGAGCGTGGTGGTGCATACCTGTAATCCCAGCACTGGGGAGGCTGGGCAGGAGGATCGCTGCGAGTTCAAGGTCAGCCTGAACTACATAGCGAGACCCTGTCTCAAAATACATGTTGTGAAATGCCTTTTTAAAAAAAAAAAAATTCTACCATTACTAAATAAGTCATACTCATGTTTGGGGAACCACAGGACTATAGTCAATTTACTTAGAGATACACTATTATGATGAGGTGATGTTTTTTAATTTTGGTGGTGCTAGGTATTGAACATGAGACATGCTGCATGCTAGCCAACTGTGTACTGTGGAGCTATATTCCCAGCTCTCTTTTCATTTCTAGGTGCTACAGGCTCTTCTGTGAAATCCGACTCACCTTCTACTTCTAGTATCTCCACACTCAATGAAACGGTATCTGCAACTTCCCTACTGACAACCACCAATCAACACTCTTCCTCCTTGGGTGGCTTGAGCCACGGAGAGGAGATTCCAAGTACCACCACCACACAACACAGCAGCACGTTATCTACGCAATAGAATACCCTTTCGTCATCAACATCTTCTGGGCGCACGTCAACATCCACTCTCCTGCATACAAGTGTGGAGAGTGAAGCGAATCTCCATTCTTCCTCTAGCACTTTCTCTACCACGTCCAGCACAGTCTCTGCACCTCCCCCAGTGGTCAGCGTCTCTTCCAGTCTCAATAGTGGCAGTAGTCTGGGTCTCAGCCTAGGCAGCAACTCTACCGTCACAGCCTCAACTCGAAGCTCAGTTGCTACAACTTCAGGAAAAGCTCCTCCAAACCTCCCTCCTGGGGTCCCGCCATTGTTGCCTAATCCGTATATTATGGCTCCAGGGCTGTTACATGCCTATCCGCCACAAGTGTATGGTTATGATGACCTGCAGATGCTTCAGACAAGGTTTCCATTGGATTACTACAGCATCCCGTTTCCCACACCCACCACTCCACTGACTGGGAGGGATGGTAGCCTGGCCAGCAACCCTTATTCAGGTGACCTCACAAAGTTTGGCCGTGGGGATGCCTCCTCCCCAGCTCCGGCCACAACCTTGGCCAAGCCCCAACAGAACCAGATGCAGACTCACCACACCACGCAGCAGACATTCCTGAACCCGGCGCTGCCTCCTGGCTACAGTTATACCAGCCTGCCATACTATACAGGGGTTCCGGGGCTCCCCAGCACCTTCCAGTATGGGCCTGCTGTGTTCCCTGTGGCTCCTACCTCTTCCAAGCAGCATGGTGTGAATGTCAGTGTGAATGCATCGGCCACCCCTTTCCAACAGCCAAGTGGATATGGGTCTCATGGATACAACACTGGTGTATCAGTCACCTCCAGTAACAAGGGCGTGCCAGACATCTCGGGTTCTGTGTACTCCAAAACCCAGCAGTCCTTTGAGAAACAAGGTTTTCATTCCGGTACTCCTGCTGCCTCCTTCAACTTGCCTTCAGCCCTAGGAAGTGGGGGGCCCATCAATCCGGCCACAGCTGCTGCCTATCCACCTGCCCCCTTTATGCATATTCTGACCCCCCATCAGCAGCCGCACTCCCAGATCCTTCACCATCATCTGCAGCAGGATGGCCAG